AGTCTTTCAGATCTCTCCGCTTCACCGCACCTCGTGGCTTATTATGTTCACCCCGTCGCACCCTTCCCTCCCCGCAAGCCCACGGGGCGTTTAATATTACACGATAGTTTCACTGTATCAGCTAATTAAGAGACACCACCGCCGTCGTCGACAAAACAGAATATAGCACAATTAAAACGCGTCGTATACCTATATATATATATATATATATATATACGGATACAAACAAAACGGGTGGTACATATACTACGCGCTGCATATACATATATATATACATATTATGTACATAGGTACGCGTCAGACTCGTGCCCGGGACTGAGAAACGAGGGGGAACTAATAATAAAAAAAAAGATCACGTTAACAAAAAAAAAAAATAATAATAATAATAAAAAAGGGAAAAAAAGAGACTACTCGGTGGAGAGAGAAATGAACTGCTGCTTTGTGATAATGAAGGGTATATGCGCCTACGCTCGCGCCGTCCGCCGTCGCCGCACCGGGTCGTGCGGGATTTGTTATACCGGGACCGACCTGGCATCTGAAATGCGGTTTATATTATCGTCATTATCATTTGTGTCGTCCTCGGCCTGGTCATTATAAAAAAAAAACATTTTAAATGAAACGGCGTCGGTGGTACAACAACAATTCGTGTATATACTAATACACGCGTGTAAAAACCTTATGGAAAGTGTGGTAATTATATTATAAAGGAGGGTGAAAAGGTTTTTTGTTTCTGTTTATCACTCGCCTCTTCACTTCTCTCGGTCTCACTGCGTCTCTCACTCTGTCACTTCTCTGAAACCTCCACAGATCGAGTCGTTAAATGAAAAAACCAAGTGTGAACACTACCCTGACTATTATTGTACCTAGGTATACAGTTGCTATATAAAGACACGATAAAATATAATACTATAATATAAGTACAAGCGACGGATAAGGTGTCGTTTTTATTCGAACAGAAATCGTCGGGAGAGGCTTGATTCGGACGACGAGGTAATTTCACGTGTTAAATTATATATACTTGTAGTAAAATATATATAGCTACATAATATTATGTATAGAAGGATATAGGTACGAGTCTGCCCTATTATTATACTAATATACTGCCGAGGTGGTATAGTTAATATCACACCTATATATATGTGTGTATAGGAATAATCAGCGCGCAAACAGAAACATAATAATTAAGTTAAATATATATATATATATTATTCTTGAACACGCAATTTTCGTATTTAATTTGCAATCGTTTATGTACTTTCATCTGCAGCAGATTTTGTCGGGAACATAACGTGTCGGGCACCTGCAGTATTATGATATTATATATACCATAAACATTATATATAGAGTACACCGGTAAGACGGTACCACAAATGTGCACATATATTTTGTAAACCAGTAGATATCATTTACCCGTAACACGATATATTTATGTCAAACTAGACCTTATATACATTTTTTAAGGGCACGTGTTCAAGTGGTTATTTACAGGAAAACTATATAACTATTATTAAAGAATTATCCAACTTATACACTTATAATTTCCGTTAAATTATATGTTCAGTACCTATATGTAATATTTCGTATATTTTTATGGATTAAATTAAATACAAAAAAAAACGATAATTGTATAATAGTTATTTTCAAAAATTATAGAAATGTTCTGGGTTTTTATCAGATTTTAGTTTTATGGATTAAAAAAAATTTACCATATATCCGTTGGTATAGTTTTAGACGTTGCTGCAAAATTAAAGTATACCTACAGCACATAAGGTATATATTAAAGTGTGCACCTGTTGCGAGTATAATAAAGGTTAATGCGAAAATTAACATTTCCATCGGAAACCGACAAATCATCGTTGTCGAGGCCTCGAGGGGTTGTTCACAGTGAATAATGTATATCAGCAACAGGTATACATATTATATAACACACCACACTATATTATCGACTCCCCGCAGGAGCGTTTTTGAACGTTATAGGCATTACCGTGAATAATATATTTTATGCATGTAAAAAAAGAAGCAAAAATAGAGTTTCCAATCTTTTCTTGCGAGTTGCGGGGCATAAATGTATAATAAATAATAATATATAATGTGATCGTAATTTTACAAATACCTACCTATGTGGTATGTGGTAAAAGTCAAAGAAAGTGCTTTTATACAGTTTTATCTTGTAACCAAAACAAGGGAGTTGTTGCAACTATATACAATTTTTTTAAACTCTTTGTTGCATGGTGTAAAGTTAATAGGTACTTATACATAGCTGAAGATTAGAAATTGAATGTATAAAATTGGGACTTAAGGTACTTCGAGCACACTAAATCGTTTAAAAAAAATTAAATTTCAATAATTTTAATATTTGAACAAAGATCAGTTCAAAATCGTTCTTCAAAATCAATCGGTTTATCATAATATTGAAATTTAAAAACACCACCAGCCCGATGATTTTATTTTCTCGACGACTTGTCCGGCCGCGATATGATCGAATGTCGTTATTACACCTATTATACCCACATTTACATACATACACACACATTTATAATATTATACTTCGACTTTCAGCAACGAGACAACCGGTTGACCGCATGCTCGTGATGTTTTCGTGTTGACTGCGGAGGTGTTTGATATAATGAGTATGTTTTAAGATTTTTTTTAGTTAAATCTCTCTGGGCTATCTTACTATATGGTTGTATAAGACAGAAAAAACAGAACATACTCCTTATTATGGTATTAATGAAAATCGCGCATGTTTGTATAAAACCAAAACAATAACGATGACAAATTGGACACGGTCTACCGCGGTTAGAATAATCGTTTAGTCAATTTTACACTTTAATCCACATTGCTGCAGCAGTGGGTATATATTTTAACGTGCGTATAAATACTGAGGTGTGATTGCCAGCTAGTGCCCAATCGCTGCGGGTTGGTGTGGTCAAACGGAATTTAAAAAGTATGAATAATATTTTAACATGTATGCTTTGTGATATAGGTACTTATTTATCAGAATTTAGATAGTAACATATTATACAAACATTTCGTCGAAAACATTAAAAAAACGCGTTTTTATACCATTACACTATAGGTACGAACATCCGTTTATATAGGTATATAATATAATATGTATATAATATATTAATATGTAATATACTATATACCGACAAAGCACTATATACAGCTATACGTGACCGATTTTGCAATAAAGTTTTTTGAATGTGCAATTTTTTCCTCAACTGCAGTAATGTGCAGTAGCCTGGCCATAATTATATATAATGTGCATTTAAAAAATAATATATAGGTATCTATATACACATATTATATTATAATGTTATTCACTACGAGTATGATACGTTATACATATTATATGCGTTACTTGAAATAAAATACACATTTTAAGTATAATTTTAGTGTTCGAAGACAAGCGACGGAATAGAATCGACGATACGTAATTTTTTTTAATGTATTATTGAGTTATTAGTCATGGCGACTTGTGCAATATGTGTTTGACATTTATCAATTATTGGTTGTATTTACAGTAAACAAAAAAAACTTGTTTCTCTGTAATCTTGGCGTAATAAAATTCTAAGCGTGGTTATTTTTAATTAAAAAATCACTATTTATATATTATTATTTATAAGAACACGTGCATAATGTTATAATGCAGTAGATAGCGTGTTTTTTCCACTGGAATCCGACCTTGAGCCCGGAAAATTTGTCATGTTATTATAATATCTACGCATCTACTGCAACCTATACAATTTAACATATATTTTCTAAAACCACTTTAATACTCAACCCCCGGCGAATCCAACTATATACTTTTATAGAATAAAATTATATTATCCCGCGGAAAGCAGCCGCCACCGCCACCGCCGTGATCGATTTATTATATTATTCGTTTTTTTCGAACACGCGTAGAACGACAATGTTTTATTCAACTCATTTCCGGCCACTTTTGCTTTTCATCATATTATTATCATATTATAAGGTTCATAATATAATATCACAATAAAATGTTTTAATTATATATAGATACAATCGTTATGCATATTTCATCGAGAGATTTATGTAATTTTTATCGTTTTTCGGGGGACTCGCGTTCGGATAATCTCGCGCGCGTCGCAATGTTTACATTTCCGAGGGGCGGCGGCATCGAGGCGTATTACATTATTATTATATATATATATATCCATCGCGGGCGGGTGTCGGGAGCGCACACAAAAAACAAACCCACTCAGATGAGGCGGCGGCGGCGGCGGCGTCGGTGGCAGCAGACACACGTCGGGTTATGACCCGCCGACCGGTTGACCCAAAGGAATCCGGTTCTGGCTCGCGGACGGTGGTTCGCGCGCGCGCGTGTTCGTGTGTGTATATTATGTGCTCAGCGGCGCGCGATCGGAAACCGCCGGGCCGTATTAAATTTTATTATCGGTATTAAATTTTTGTTATTATCATAATTAGTCGTGGATAAATTTGAAATTTTTTTTCCATCGGTTTTAATAATATTTGATGATCGCTTACTCGCGAATAGTATTAGAATTAATTATGTACTATAAAATATAATATTTTATGCCTATAGAACAATTGATAAATTTAATAAAAAAAAAAAATATATTTTTTTGTATAGATTCATATTTTGTCGTGTCCCGTCAGTTGAAAATTCAATCGAATATAATATGTAGAGGGTTCTTATCGCGTTTTCTCGCCACGCAGAGGACGAGGAAAAAAATATTTATTTTTCGGTCGAAAAACCTACGCGCGTAAAATCTTTAGGTAACAAATTGTTTATTATTTTTGTTTTTAGTACGTTGGTCTAAAATTTAAATTTTTATCAATTGTATATTCGCACACCAAGGCACACTTATTATATAATTTTTTTTTGTTGACAATTTTTTAACTCTTAATATTTTATCAAGCTCCCACGACAACGAAAAATAATATTTTTAAAACGCGTCTTATATAACGATATTATGTGTCTCTCAATATACGCAGTAAACTGCACTGACCTTCACAAGTGAACTGTCCATAGTGTTTGCCGCTGCTCTTGTCACCGCATACGACGCACTCGATGTTCTGTCCGTTCTTATCGCACTGTCCGCCGAGCGTGACCAGCGAACCGCCGGACTGCGAGCTGGCCGTGCCCGGCGTGGTGCTTTGCTGCGGCTCGTCCAGATGGTGGCCACCGCCTCCACCGGGTGGGTCGCGCCACGCCGGCGTCACCAGCGCCATGCTCCGGGTGAACCCACCGAGATCGTGGTGGTGTCCACTGGTCAGCAGGTCCGGCGGCCCACCGTGTGGCGGACCCTGGTGCGACGGCGGCGCGGCCGAACCGCCGGTCGGGCCGCCGACGCCGGTCATGCCGGGGCCACCGCCACCGGACACTGTGCATAGTCCGCCTACCGCCGCGCGACACACCGCGAGGCCGTTATGCGGAATAATAATGGTGCTTGCCGGCGTCCACCTGAGCGTCTGCTGAGACTGTCGGGCTAGTGTCCCGACTTGGCGGCAGTGCAGGTGGTGCCGGTCGCTTACCGCGGGAAACCGCCAGGCGCCGCAGCACGCGATCCCGCTGTTCGGCCGGACTGTTGTCGTCGGCGAAACAACCACTGAACGAACGACTTTTTTTTTTCACCAATAACCCCGCACGAAAATTGCACAAATTATATTATTATTAATCCAATAGGTACAGCTGACACACGGTCCAAAACACTTTTTTTGCCCGATATTGTTAATAATAATTTTTGTCTCGTCTCGTTTCGATTAGAGACAAACGAAAATAATTAAATTAAAATAAATACAACAGATTTCGAATGACGAATAAAATTCACACGCGCGAAACGTGGCGGCACAGACGACGTTTACGACGACGATCGTTTCGGATTTTTGACCTTTCGAAGACCTGGCGGCCGCGATCCCAGATCGGAGTGAACTGACCCGCGGGCCACCGGGTTAGGTTAGTAGACCCGACCGGGGAGACCGGTGCGCGGCGGCGGCGGCGTGCGTACACGACGGCGAAGGCGACGGTGCTGCTGCCGCCGCTCCCCTCCACCGCCGTCGCCATAGCGACCGGGGCGCCCGGTGTGCTGCCATTGGCTCCCGACCCGGCCACCTCTGACCAATTCACACGCGCGGTCGCGGCCCCCGGTGACACAGACCGCCGCGCTCGCGACGAAGGAGGAAAACCCCGTCGGCTGACGCGACGGCGGGTGCCCAGGCTATTCGCTCCCCCTCCCGAGACGCGCCTACCAACGCCACCGCCGGCGCTACCCCGACGCCCCCCTTTTGTATTTTTATATTTTTTGCGCGTCAGTTTCACCGCAATAATTAACTCGAGTGCAATATTCCTCTGCAGCCTCCCCCGCCACACCTTGAGGCGCGGGACAATGAGATTCTATTGTTCGGCGAGCACGTAACACCTCTCCTCGCCGCCAGCCATCGATTTTCTGCTCGTCCGCCATCGGTACTACCGCGTGCGTGCACAGGTGAGCGCCAGCAAAATTTCTAAACATATTTTTTCCACTCAAACCGACTGCAAAAAGTATATTCCCTCTCTCGTCGTCGTTACCACAATAAGAATAATATATTATGCATAAAATAGGTGTTACAATGGGTATAAATATTTAGGTATATAGATATTACTATGTTAGAAATTTTAAAATGATTATTGTTGGGCTTAGAGATACATACTTTTATAATTACCCACACATATATTATATGTCTATTTTATATAATGCAATCTTATGCACCATCAATATAGAAAATGTATAAATTATAATGCAGTTACATATTTTTCTTAAGTTTGGCCGTATAGATATTCAATGTAGGGTATAGGTATATGTATATTGTATACCCATCAAAAATATATTATAAAAGAATCTGAATAGATAGTGCAATGTAGGTTTGGTACCTACACATTAAATTAAATATTTTTATTATAATATGTGTACTTGATATAATATAATATGACTTGCGCAATGCATTTTGTTGTATCGAGAGCGTATTATATATTATTATTTCAATATAAATACCTTATCTCGAATATAAATTATATAATATAATATATAGGTATAGGTTTAGTCAATATTAAATTTAAAATGTTAAATGCACAATTATTTATAGGTTATTTGCTCGCTAACGTATATAGGTACTTGGATATATAATTATCATACTATTATCATCATAATTAAAAGTATATCGTATATAGGTAGGTATATTTATTGTAGCAGTTTACTCTGTATAGGTAGGTACTCTTAATTTATGTGCAACGTTTATACCAACAATAAATTGCATACTTTACTATACATTTTTTAGTGATTGTATTTTTCTTAAATGTTCTCCCCCTAGTACGAATTTCCGAGTACAGTCGTATCGTACAATATATCTATTGATTCACAAAAGGGGACTAAATTATAATATATATCATATTATATTCATGTGGATAGTATAGATACGTACAATAGGTAACTACCTAATTATAAACACTGCGCAAAAATTATAATATCATAAATACTTATACCTACCAAGTACCAGCTATAACTATATAGTTAAGTAACTATATATAATATTAACGATGCAACAAATGAAACCAATATGGATGCGAGATCTTGTGGGTGATAAATGTTATTGATACGTTATTATTAGCACAATATTGTATCGTTCGCACTTCATTAAAATAATAAAAGATAACGCACTTTATAAAAATACATAATAAACTTATCTTTACGTGTAATACAAACACCAATAGAATTGTATATACCTATAATGTATTAAATATAGAAGCTCATATTATTAACAGCCAGGGCTCGGTATAGTAGACACAAACAAAAAAAACATTAAACAGTGATATAAGAAATGCTGCAAACATGACCTAAATGTGTTTAAAACAATTCCATGAAAATACCAAGTCAAATAGTACAATTTTAATTAATGTTAATGCACTTAGTATCTTTTTCAATAAATCAACATAATGTCAACAAAAAATTATATTAAAATACAACAAAATGAATAGAATAATTCAATTTTCATAAAAATGTTAATCAATATTTATTGGTCATGCTTAAAAAAAATATAAAAGTGTTGACTGAAAATAATAATATAATGCATAGTTCAAAATTGAATTGGAATTATTATAATTTATTATAAAATTCGGAATACGAAAAACAGTATAGAGTTACAGGAATTGGGTTAAAATAATTACCATTATAAAGTAAAAAAGTCCACTAAAAATAAGTACATCCAAAAAATGCTTAATACAAATTTGTTAATCATAGACTTGTGTATGTTAAAAAATAAGATTTTTAGCTATGTATTGAAAGGTTGTATATAAAATATCAAAAAAAAAAAAGATTAAAATGTATAAACTTTCAAGTGATATACGCATATATACTTTTATAATAAATTAGAAAACACAACAATCTGAAGTATGTTAAAATATACAACACATTAAAATACTGAAATAATATATCGAACTAATTTAAATAATAATATATTTATCATATAAAAATGTACCAACTTATAAGTTTTTTTCTAGGTACTTAATACCCAGTATAAACCATATATATATATATATATGTACATTATAATTATCAAATGCATGCTCTTGAATTCAATTTTTGCCATATTATAAGAGTTAAACAGCTTAATTTCAACAATTCCTATAAAAAAACTATATGGTTATAATAAAATTTGAAATTACTTATAGGTATATGAAGTTTAATATACTTATTACACTATACATACGTCATATTTTATTTTTATCGAAACTACATTTCAATCAACCAGAACTATTGTCTGTTTTTTTAAGACGCCTGAAAGTTTTTTTTTAACACGTGATCAAATTATAAAGGTATTATATATCCAATTATATGAATGGGACACAGCGATAGTTACATATACATTATACATATAGTGTGTAATAAGTATAATATAAACCTAGATAATGTTTACTGATTCCCATCTCATTCATATATTATATAAATTATATTATAATAATAATATTTCTATACCTATATAATACGCAATATACTATCACAAAAAATTGTACAGAGAAAAATTATTATCAATTTCACGGTTTTGTTCGATGCGTCCAATTTGATATGTCCCGCGCGTATAACGATGATGATGTACCTACACGACATAGTTATTAATATAATCTCAGCTAGCTGTGTATATAATATAATATATATATATTATATACATCTTTAGAATGTATACCTGCTAAAAAATAAGAACATCAAAATAATGCATGCGATGAGGAACATAATGATCTGTGATTCACGTCAAATTACACTGTTATTGTATATATTATATTGTATTACATTTGTAGCATCGTTAAACTATTATAGAAGTATATTATATGCTTGTAGGTAGGTACCTTAATAATATACTTGTATTTAGATTGTTCCTTACTTTTCTATCTCTAGTATGGTTGTATGCAGGGCTCGGGACTTATATGCAGTTGCATATTTCTTCGGGAAGTATAAATAGAATAAATCTGATCCGGTACAAATTTGTGTTGTGATGTTTGGAGTTAAAGTTTAAAAGTTTACAGTGCATATGTTATGCATATTTTGGAATTTTTTTCTACAAATGGATATTTTTAAGTATTATTGATTTTTATTGCATATTTTAAAATAATTTTTGATTATTTACTCTTAAATCGATTTTTTAGTAAATTAATTTTATCTACATGATTTTGTCGGCAATAATACTGATAAGGCGATAATCAAAAGCATTACGGGGAACCCATTTTATTTTTAGCTCTGAGGACAATATTATTTTTATTTAATCTGTCTTTTACAATATTATTTTGTTTGCCAGTACATAGTGATCGACGGACCACGATCGTTATCGAGTGCATGACGTATCGTCAATCGTTGTCGTGTTCGTATTTGTATTCGTTATTTAAATATTTATTAGGGCTTGTATTTGTGGTATAATATGCCAAACGAAAAAAAATACAAATTAGCCGGTTGAGAAGTTTTATTTTGGAATTTGGGGATAATATATTTTCCGCAGACGGAAGAATTTTATTTTGCAAAATATGTGAAATTAAAGTAGAATATGAACTGCGATCTAGTGTTGTAATACAACATATACAAACAGTAAAACATATGAAAATGATTAAACGGAGGGAAATGTCCAATACAAGAACCCAGCAAATGATTACACAAACTAATACAACTAAAAAGTCTACTTTCAATATGGACTTATGTAAAGGCTATAAGTTATAACTTATATGTTTTCAATGGAGGTAAAATATAATAATTTCTAATGAACATGATGATATTATATATAATATTATATTATAATATTACCTTCATAATATATGTACAGTTTACACTGTATAAATGTATTTGTAGATATAGGTAGCTATTAATCTCTTATATTATACAGGCGACGCATAAGTCTCAATTCGCAGTCGTGAAAACATTGCGTTGTTCGAGGACTCGATAAAATAATAATTATTTTACGTATATAGAACCAATGTGACCCAATTGTCTTTTTGATTTCCGTGAATTAATATTCGAATAATAGTAATCGATTATCTATAGTAGACAATACCTTATGAAAAATGCATACCAACTACGTGCTTATTCAATAGCGACAAAAATCGGATGACTCGTAATAATTAATAATATCAGGGGATGTACGTACCTAAAGGTTTAGCACATATATATATGTATATATAGACTGCTGAGGCCATATTCTAATTATTATTAAAATGTCGACAGTTGATTGTTATTCTACATCTGCTATATTTTATGTGCATACCTATGTATATGTAATACCTATGTGTGCATGTATATATTATATACTGTCGGTGCTCGGCAGTGTGTAAATACTGCAGTGCACGTGTATGTGTTTGTACCTGTGTGGTAGTATATGTCGTATAGCTATATATATGGTACAGTTATACATAATACATATGGTAAACCTTCGCTGCTGTATATAAATAGTCACAAAAAAAAAAAAAATCAAATGCAT